AAAGGCTGCAGTGCCTGGGACAGAGGAGGGGGAAGGTAGGAGGGATGAGCTGTTAGAAAGTAAGTATACCATCTCTTCTCTTGCAGGGTCTCGTTAAGTATTCCAGGCATTTGATAACACTAGGAAATTAGTGCAATGTGCTGTAAATGTTTAGTTACATAACAATGACAATTTGGTTAGAGATGCTCAATTAAAATTCTGAAGCCTAGTACTAGTTAAGTAATAACAACTGCGCTTTTTAGGAAGCACTTTTTTTTCTTTACTGTGGCAAATTTTTAGGTTTATGAAAATTACTCATATTAGTATTGGTAAATGATATTACAAGGAAAGTCCAGGTTCAGCAATGGATTTGCACTGTGGTTCAATGTTTTTTTAACGCCTATTGGTGGTTCATAATGAGCAAATGGTTTGCCATTCACAGGAAATGACACTTATGTGTAATAAAAATAACCTCATTGCTTTTATTTTTCTTTTGAAAATATCACTCTGAAGCCCATGAATTAAAGCATACAATAGTGCCTATTGCATACTGAATTAAGTGAGCAATTATCTATAATTACACAAAATCAATTAAAGTAATAGACACATTTTCAGCACTGCATTTATCCCTCTGTGTTAGTCACAAATGAATATTCTGTGTGGTTTGTTCTTGTTTTTCAAAGAGGTCAGTGTTTTGGATGGAACGCACCTGAGCACCGATTGTACCAATAATAAAACAGCTGAAAGCCTTCTCATACATATGGATTCTACATCTATAATACTTAAGTCAAGGTTTACTTAAGTCTTGCTTTGGCCATTATATTGGGCTGTCGAGATCTAGGCTGAGCCAGCACATGTCACTATTTGGTTTATTTAGCAAACTTTTCCAAACTGAATGTTTTTGTTTCAAAGAACCTTAGAGGCATTTTCTCCTAGTTGTTTGTCAGTTATTTTTATCCACAATATGGTAAGACAAAGGAAGAATAACTGGCATCTGACTAGGGTTGTTCTAAGAATAGAAATCAATAATATACTGTATAAAGCTTACACCAGGATCATTTTTTTTTTTAAAGTGAGCAGTCACGAGGCTAAAAATAAAGATCCTTAGCTTTGTGAACTGAGCCTATATTTAAGTATAAATCTACAGACTTCTAAGATGAAGTGACCCTGTCTGTATATAAATTTTGCTAAGACAAACCAAGTTTGTAAAAATACAGGGTCACTATACAACTCGAGGAATTGTCCCTAATGGGGGCATTAAAAAAGCTGACAGAGGTTTTAAACTTCCCCACTCTACAAGAACAAATTGTTGTGTTGCTGTCCCCAATTGGGAGAGTTTTCCTTTACCTTTTGTTTTGTCTTATACCCATCAAATTGACAGGAATAAAAGGGAAGTCTGCCAAATGGGAACACAGACAGCACTAAAAAACCTGGACAGAGGTTCTATACATTTCAAACTATCTTATCTAAAAATGAAAAAAAGGCTTTGGCTGGAGCTTGGCTTTTATGCCTTATTACCACAGGAATGGTGCACTGTACCTTTAATTATACCATTGCTGGTTCTATTGTTTTTTTTTCATAAAATTGAGAATTTTCTGGGTGACTTGAATAATTGTCATGGGAAATTTTTTATTATCTCATAAATGTTTCCCTAGATATATTTATCAAAAACAATGTGGGGACACATTTTTCAATGAACTGTGCTATATACAGTATATTTTAGGGATATATATAGTATAATAATTGTCAAATGTATTTACTAAAACACTATAAGGACTTACAGGATGATCACAATCGAGTTCCGCTCCATAGCTCAGAATCTGATTTGCAAACTTGTCCAGATCCTGAATGGTTCTTGGAAACCATGGGACTGAAATGAATGACATAACAGGTTATTACAAAATGACACAGAATACAGCAGTCTAACATTTTTCTACGTCTGTTTTATATGAAACTCTCAAAGATTATTTCAGCCCATAAATAAATCCCCCAACCCACAAACTGCCAAGTCACACTGTTTAAAAAAATGATATTATTTTAATATACACTATAAAATATTGTATACTACACTTTAATAAAAAAAAACGAGTTTACCTAGCCAAAATAATCATACCATACAAAAGAATTAACTAGTAATTAAAGCTGAACTCCAGAAGATAATAAGATTTTTGTACTTTAAATAAAATCTTTTCCTCAAAATCCAAGAGGGGCACAGGAATGTAGTATTTCTTTGACATATGGGTTACACTGCTGCCTATAGGAGGTTTGGACACTGGCAAACAAGAAACGTTAAGCCAGCCCCCCTATAACCCTGCTTTCAACCATCATGCCTCCGTTTTAGAAACAAGAAGTTCATAAACCTAGTAACTCAGAGGGGCGGGACCCGTGTCCCTCAATGGTAATGGTAAGTATAAAAATCTTATTTTCTTTATTGTCCATTAAGGGATGCAGGAATGTGGAGATTCTCCGACATTTGGGTTGTCCAAAAGCAGTCCAACTGAAGGGTGGGCAATAGCCACTGAGAAATCCAACAGAAGTGGAAATCCTACTATAAAAGTGTCTGAAGGAATGAATGCCTGAACTAAGGGCCAAAGGTTGTGTAAATTGCCAAAACCAAATGAAGAGCACCTAGCATCAACCTGGTATTCCAGGTCTGGACAGCTAAACACCTGTAGGGGCAAACTGCTACTTAAAAGAATTATGGACTTCAATAAGCAACATTCCACAATGGGGATGCCAGGAAAAAAGGTTGCACTAGGGTGAATATAAAATTCAGCGACGTGGATAGGTGCCAAAACCATCGGAATACACTGAAGAGACAGGCTCTCACAAGGAAAGGGAGTAGTAGGAACTGATCTCAGTCTATTTTGCAGATCACAAAATCTCTCAAGAGAGGGGCAAGGCTTAAAGGAGTGTAACCAGGCTTGATTAAAAAAAACTCCACTGCAGGGAGAAGTTTGTGAGCAAATGGGATACCGTTCTCAAAAATAGATTTTACCAGGGTAGAAATCAGAGATCCCATTATGCAGGGAAGCTAAACAGTTCCACAAAGATGCACACATGAGTACAGTAATATCAGGAAGGGACCCTTTAAAAGATGCCTGATCCAAAGGTTAGGAGTGGAAGCTAAAAGAGGAAGCCTGAACATTAAAACTGGAAAGGATACACCATCAGGATGAACAAATTGCAAAAGTAGATGTGCACCTTTTATGCAAAGGGATGAGTAGATGAAACAGAAGACTTCTGGCCTCAAGATCTGTTACTTGAGAGGGAGGAAGACTATGATCTTCTATGAGGTATAACCGCAGTAGGAGATGAAGAATTGGGTTGTTCTGCCCTGTCTACAGATCTCCGGCCCTGAGGCAGGTGTACACTGCAAACACAAGGGATACCAGGAATTACACTGTCAAGGACAGAACTGCAGAGACACCTTCTCTTAAAGGGCGAGTAAATCAGATGATCTTTGGGTGAATCCTTAAGATGGAGGGATCTCCTTTAATAGAAATGATCCACAATGATATGGAGTCACCAAGATAGTTCAAACTGAGACATAAATAGGGATTCTGTCTATCAGTATTCTGTCTATATAGTATCTGTCTATCAGTGAAATCTTGAAGGTTAAAATAAAATCAACCTGTTTGGTAGAATGATTGCTAAGGTGGATGACAGGTATGTCAAAGTGGGCCAAGACCCACTTTCATATGGAAGAAGCCCTTTCACATTGACAGGAGGGAGCCATAATTTTATAGGTTTTTTCCAATTCTCATAGAGTAAGGTTTTAAACCCCGTGTGTGTAGGAAAGGTCTTTGCAAATATAATAGCTCCAAAAGACCCTATGCCTGGAACTGCTGATCCTCTAACTGCAGGGTAGAATGCACTGCATCAGTTGGGTTAGAAACAACCTCTTGTAAATCTGAGTCATTTGGACTTGCTGAAATACAGGCTCTTCGGGTACAGACTATGAGGGCTATGAATCTGCCCTCTGTGCGTCTTTAAAAAGACATATTATACAGCGGAAAACAACTAGGCCCAAAAGAACGCAAGGCCTAGTGTACTCACAAACCCAAGAAGCTGATGCTGAAGCTGATGCTGGAGAGGGTCATAGGCAGCTGGAGGTGACCAAATCACTGAAGGTTGGCACTGGAACAAGACTGGAGAATGGGAGATCCACAAAGCATTGCAGCATCAGGAGCAACAGCAGGAAGGTGCTTCCTCTGGACTGAATATGGGAGAAAAGCATAGGGAATGCACATGCAACACTCCATCTAGCCAGTGGCGTAACCAGAGTTATGGGCGCCCGGGGCAGAATTTTTTTTCCCGCCCCCCCCATATTATATAAACATCCACTAGAACTGTACCCCACACATATATATCAGCTAAGGAACTACAAGTCCAAGCATGCCATCTTTGTCCCTGTACACCCACACACACATATCACCCAGGGAACGGCAATATTTGGTTGTTGTACAGGGGCAATGAGGGCATGCTGGGACTTGTAGTTCCCTAGCTGCTATCTTATGAAGCTATATTCCACCTGAAAGTACTACAATGACATTATAGAACTAAGAATAGAACATAAAATAAAACTTTTTTTTTTCTAATCACACTAGCAGATGACATCAGTGCACAGCTCCCTCAGCATTAACTGTTTTCACTGTATAATGTCAGTGGTGAAAAATTTAAAATGGTGCCCAAGGGTACCCACTGTGAGGTAGCTCTTGACCTGGAGAGTGCTCTGTAGCTGAATAACACAATACACAGAGGTCTGGACAGTGCCATAATTCAGAACCCAGTGCATGAAAGTCATATTCCAGGTTAACCTTGCCGTGACCAGGGGCCTACTCACTATGTAAGTCTTCAGTGACTGGGTCACACCAGAGTCTGTGACACAGCTCTGGACCTGGAGAGCGATCTGCAGACATCTAACATAGTACACAGGATACTTGCAAAAATCTGAGACATGATGGTTAGCTGTGGGGTTATACGGGGGGCTGGTGAAACCTCCAGTAGTTGGCAGTATAACCCAAATGTTTAAGAATTACTACATTCTTGTGTCCCTTAATGGACAATATAGTAAGCTAAATAAACAGATTAAATACACATCTGCCAGCCATCTTATCTGCCAAAGAATACATATTTCCAGACATTTACCCAGCTTTGCTGTACAGTACCGACCTGTCTCACGGGGCAAGACAGGAAATCTGATTTTTTTTCTGCTGGAGTTAGGTTACACTTAGCCTCCCCAAGCCTATAACTGGACAGTGAAAGGAGAAGTGACAGACTAATGAGCTTATTCTCCCTTTATTCTGGTCTTTCCACCTATCAGCACCTATCCACCTATCTGCATGTTCCTTGATAGCACATTAGCACTGCAGCACAACTGAATGGCTCCTTGTGCTGCTTTTTCTTCTCTTGAGCTCTGCTGTACAGGTGTTAGCAAGAGGCTGATAACATGACAAATTTAGGCGCTTACACTACTTTCATTACAAAAAATGATATGCAATGATGTATTAATGATTACATAGCTTTTCTAAATGTACAGCATGTAAACCCCAAATCTATTTTAGTATGGTTGACATCATGTCTCAATGAATACAGTTTTTTTAACAAATCCTTATTGTGAATCTGTTGAAAAGTTTTCATGCGTGCAGATCCTGCCAGTTATCTCATTTCCTGTTGACGGCTAGCAACACTAAGCCACTGCCTTGCAATTAGCAGCAGTGTTACCAGCCCGCCATGCAAGCTCCTTCAGTTGGCCAATGTGATGCCTATCAGGTCTATCAGGGGCAGTCCAATGGCTTCATGATCTCCAGATATAAAAACTTTGTTTAAGAAAACTGGGTTTACATATTCTTTAATTTGTGTCTTTTTTATACATGCCTGTAGTGTAGATGTAAAATAAATATAATTACCCATAATTCATGAAATAGGAGACCAACATTCCTAAACAGAGGATCCTTAATTTATTAATTGTGTGTCATAAAAAAGCAAGATCGTTATAATAGTAAATAAGATAGAATTGTAAAAGCCCACGTGGTAATAATTGCTGATATGATTATATAAATAACAGGGTAAGGCTCTAACTTCTGCAACTAAAGGGAACACAAAATATTTTAAATAAACAAGGTCTTTCTACATTCAACATTCCTAAACAGAGGATCCCTAATTTATTAATTGTGTGTCATAAAAAACCAAGCTCGTTATAATTTAATAGGTGCCTATTAAATTATGTATACACATTTCTGGTAGTAAAGGATAACACTGGTACTTTGTTTTTCTTTATATCTAT